TGCTGGCTCAGGCACCACCTGGCAGTCACTCATATTTTAATTTCCCACAAAACATTTAAAAATAAAGACAATAAGTGAAAGTCTCTTTTAATGGGGAAAGGCCTCCTGGGTCTCACGTGGAGGAAAGGAAATAATTCAACCAGAGCTGGCAAGGCAGGCAGTGCCAGGCTCCCTGTCTCTGCATCCCCGCACCTGATGTGCCCTGAGGTGGCTGGATCCAGCTGGTGCAAAAGGGAGTGGTGACAGGAAACTCTGCCGAGGGAAAATAAATTATCATTGGGTTAACTGGAATTAGGCCCAAGTTCACCCGGCCCTTGGAAGGGTCCTAATGATGCTCCTGAGAATTTTAAAAACCAAAGATCAAAAGGAAAAACAAAGATCACAGAACACGGGGCTCCCCAGGGATAGAAGATGCCCGATGGGGAGTATGATCCGACAGCAGAAATGCCTCTGGGGTCAGGCAGTGGTGCTTCCAACCACAGCACAGGTCTGTCTTTAGTATATTATCAGAGAAACATTCAGGGAGAATGACAGCAGAAAGAAGCAACTTAATTTTTTTTTATTGAGATATAACACAATACAGGAAAGTGCATTTGTTTTAAGCACAGAATTTTATGAATTTTTTACATAGAACTGTACTCGTGTAATTGCTACTTGGATTAAGATATAAAACATTTCCAACACCTAAGTGGGTTCTCTCTTCCCCTTTCTGGTTAATATCCACTGCATACTACTCCTTCCTGCAGAGGTAACCACTGTTTATTCACTCAACATCATGTCTGTGAGGTTCATACATGATGTGCGTAACAAGAGTTTATTTATTTTTTATTACTGATTCAAATTTCATTGTACAACTTCACTCTTATCTATCCATTCTACTGTTGATGGACCTTTAATTTATTTCCAGCTTTTGGGTATTATCAATAAAATGGCTAGAAACATCCTTGCCGGCATTCATTTAGCTTTAGTAGATACTTTCAAACAGTTCTCCTGAGAAGCTGAACCAGTTTTCACTATCACCAGCAGTGCGTAGAAAAGAATTAACCTCAACCCCTACCTCCCACCGTACATAGAAATTCGATTTGGGATAGATCGTACAGCTACTTCGGAAAGGTAAAACAATAGAACTTTTAGAAGAGAACACAGGAGAATATCTTAGGATAGACAAAACAGAACACAAAAGGCATTAACCATAATGGAAAATATGGATAAATGAGACTTCTTTAAATTAAGAACTTTGCTCCTCAAAAGATACTACTAAGAGAGTGAAAAGGCAAACTTATCTGCAATAGATATATGAATACATATATTTAACTAAGGGCCCTTATCAAGAATATATAAGACTCCTACAAATCAATAAGACAATGGCAAACAACTCAATTTTTAAAAGTGGTTGAAAGGCTCAAAAGGCACTCCAGGGGAGAGAAGATTCAAACGGTCTATTAACATATGAAAAGATGTTCAACATCTCTGGTCATCTGGGAAATGCATCTCACACACACACACACACACACACACACACACACACACACACACACACACACACAATGAGATGCCTACTACATAAACCATCAAAATGGCCAAAATTTGAAATAAAACTGATTTTACTAAGAGTTAGAAAAGCTGTAGCGCCAAGTGCTATCCATTGCTGGAGGGAGTGCACATTGGTATGGCAACTTGGGAAAACTGTTTGGCTGAACATATGCACATCCTATGACCTCACATTTCCATTCTTAGGTATATACTCAACAAAAAATGTGTGCCAAAAGATTTGACAAAAATGTTCATAGCAACACTATTCTATGACCCCAGATGGAAACAACTCAAATGTCCAACAGTAATTTTTGGTTATAAAAACTGTGGCCTATTCATACAATGGAATGCTACATAACAATGAAGAGCAAAGTCTACTGTTATATTCAATACTATAGGTGAATCTTACAGATACATTGCAGGAGGAAAGAAGCAAAACTTAAAAAAGTACACACTGGTATTCTACTTACGCAAAGTTCAAAAACAGGCAAAACTAGTGTATGGCACCAGCAGTCAGAACAATGGTTCTATAATACAGCAGCGAAAAGGCAAAGGGTGGAAGAGATGGACAATAATTACATAATCACACACACACGCACACGCACACACACACCAGGGTTCAGAGTCGTGAAATAAAAGTCCGGGGTGTTAAAAATGGAAGCAGGGAGACCTTATCTGGGGGCTCAAGGAGGGCTCCCCAGATGTTTGAGAGGGGAAGCATGAGTTAGCGAGATAAAGGGCAGGGCAGGGGCGGTGAAATTTACAAGAGAAAGGGAAATGCAAGCAGAGGGTGCAGCATGTGCAAAAGCCCTGAGGTGGGAGGAAGCGAGGCGCCCTGAGGACGGCAGGTATGGCTAGAACCCAGAGGCTGAAGGAGCGAGTGGCACAGATGTGGCCGGAAGGTGACATTGGGACTAGACTCATGGGTCCTGATGATGATTTGGAGAAAGAAGATGGGACATGCCGTCTAGGATTTTAAGCAAACGAGCCACATGATCTGGTGTAGAGCGGGGAGGGGCTATGGCTTTGCTCACTGGGATGTTTTTGGCTGGATTTCCGGAGCTGAGTGTTTCCATCTCTGGTCTGCTCACCCACCGCTGACTGGGCAGTTCCACATATGCAGGACTGTAAGTTCCTACTGGAAGAAGTGCCTTAAAAGGCTCTGAAGCTCTGCCAAGGCTCACTGCTGCCTGGGGAAGGTCCTTGCACTGAATTGCAAGTGCACCACTAGAGAGTCATTGTATTATTTCAGTGGGTTTTAGAAAAAAATGGACAGAAGATTCAGCTTAGCCCTTTAGGATGGTTCTGCCCACATGGGACTCTGTGTTCTGACTCCAGGTGTTTGTTCTGTGTCCTGACCTTTTGACTGAGCAGTTTTGGTTGAGTTCAGTCATTTTCTAGATAGACAAGGCCAGGCAGAGGGTGTTAGCATGGACTCTCAGCAGGGAAGCGTATACTCGATTGCACAGTGCTGGCTGCAAGGCATGCTGGGGAGAAAGTGTGGAACACATGGGCAGGGAGGGCATGCCAGCATGGCAGAGGGGCGATGGACAAAAGACCGCTCTTTGAGGCTGTTAGGGTGGCGTGGCTAGAGGGCGAGGTGCCTTTAGTCTGGGAGCATGTTGGCTCTCAGACTCAGGGAAGTGGCCTCAAAAATGTCAGCGTTAGCTGTGTTCAATGTCAGGGACCCTCCAATCTTCAGTGCATAAGGAGAAGCAGGGTGGGAGGAAAAAGGGCCAGCAGTGGGAAAGTGCCTATAGGTATGAGGTACCTGACTTGATGGCTCAGTGTGTGGAGAGCAAGTCAGCCAATGTACTAAGGGCAAATTCCTTCAAATGGTACTTCAAATGTGCCAGACATTGTTCTAAACATGTCATAAAAGTGTTGCCATTTTGCAGAGGAGAAAACTGAGGCACATATTGCCCAAGGTCACACAACTAATATCAGAGAGGACAGGGTGTAAGTCCAGGCAGTCTTGGCTGCAAGCCCATTCTATACTGCCTTTCTGTGCTGAAATGTTTATCCACGATGTTGGAAAACAGGGCTAGCAGCAGGTAGCACCTTGGCAGGTCTGTACCTGGGAGCCCGGGAGACCTTGATTAGCTACTTGGACCCCTTAGAAAGACCAAGGGTCCCCTATAGATCGGCCTCAATTTTTCCAAGGTGCGTGGATGATTCTGTCCCTAAGCTCAACTGACAGGAGTCTTGGACAATGGTGCTCAGACCTCCACACCCCATTCTTATACTAGTCATTCACTGATTTACTCAATGATCATTTCATTGAGCATGCACCAGTCTTTTAGGTGCCAGGACTACATCAGTCAATAAGAGAGAGCCTTCCTGTCAGTGGTGTTGGAGAAAAGGGCAAAGATATTAAACACACACAATTATTTAACCACTAATGTGATAAGAGCCTTGAAGAAGAAAAGCAAGCAGCTACGACAGCAAATTATAGGAAGGATGACTCAGTCTTCTCTGGGAGTTGCATGAAACTCTAAGGTTCTATAAAAGTTATTTCCAGAGTTATTTAAGCCATTAAGTTAAATTTCAATTAAATGTGTATATGAATTATATCTTTAAAAACAGTAACAAAAGAGCATACTTGTATACTCAAATGTGCTACATGCCACATTGGAAAATGCTGGCTCATCCAGGTATTGGCAAGTTAACTTGCTTGTTGTGTGTGTGTGTGTGTGTGTGTAAGAGCGAGAGAGAGAGTCTTGGAACAAAGTTCTCCAGTCCTTTCTGTGTAGCCATTGGCATTTATTGTAAATGTCTCACTAATGAAGAAGAAGGCAGCCCAACACTTGTTTTTAAATTTTTTCTTAAAATTCAGGTGTAGAAAAACTGATTGGATTTACTACAAATTATTTTTACGATTTTCTTGTTACTTTGCGGTCAAAACAAAATACGAAAACATAGTAAATGCTGAGGCTAAAGTCAGACTTCAAGTGTCATCCATAGCCCCTGGAGTCAAATTGTTGTAGGCCACAGAAGCAGCTTCACTGTTTTTAGTAATTCTTTTTATGGCAAGTAAATGTTGCATATTTGAACTTATACATATTCTGTTTTACATGCATTTAAAATTTTTATATTCTGGATAGGATTTCGATTAAATAAAAAACAAGTTTAAAAATGTCGGCTTTGGTTCAGAGGTTTTAGAGACCTTCTTCCTGCTGGCCTCCTTACTGCTGCCTCGCCAGCCCCATATCTAGGCCCCGCTCTCACCCCTCATCCCCCTCCTCATGGCCTCTGCCAGTGTCCTGGGAACTCCTGATGGACAACCCACTGCTCCTGGGGGATGACACAGCTAAAATTGAACTGAGACTGATGCAGGTCCCCAGACTGTGGGGAAAAGGCTCTAACAAGCCTCAAGCCCACCCAAAGCTTCGGCCTGTTTTCAGAACCATAGACAGCAAACACTGCCTTACTGTGGGGAAGACAGCAGGCACGGGCTGCACACTCACCCTTCTTGGTGGCTTCAAAGCTGTCATGGAAGTGAATCCTCTGGATGTCATAGGTCAAGGTTGTATTGGGCAGCAGAGTCCTGTTCCTGTTGATGATGTTGGCAGAAAATCGAAATGCATGCTCCTCGGCGTTCATGACTTGGGCATTGGGGCCGTCTGCATACTCAAAGATTCCTCCTGCGAGAGATGGGTAAAATTGTGTGTGCTGGGAAAGGAGGGGTTGCTAACAAAGATGCTTGGCTCAGAAAGTTTAACGGGCAAGATCCCCCCCACCCCACTGTTCAATGATACCCTAAATAATTCCCATACACAGATATTGAGCTGGAGCATAAGAAATGTAAAAATCCTCCTAGGTCATTTCACTCAGCTAGCAAATTCCTGATAACAGAGACTGACAAACGGAGCCAAAAAAAAAAAAAAAATCACCAAATTATTAATATTGCTATGAAAATTCTCAAGAGAGTGCTAGCAAGTAGAATCTACCAGAATATTATAAGGATAACATATCATGACCATGAAGACTTGTATTCCAGAAATGTAAGGAAGATTCAATATAAAGAAAGCTATGAATATCATTCTATCATATCAATAGTTCAAAGGGAAAAACATATGACCAACTCACAAAATGCAGAAAAGCATTTGATAAAATGCAATACCTCCTGCTATTAAGAATGCTCAATAAACTAGCACCAGAAAAAAAGACTTCCTTGAAGCATCTTTAGCTCATTCAGCCTTTAATATCACACTAATGGTGAAACACTAGAAGCATTCTCACTTAAAAAAAAAAAAAAAAAAAAGGTGGGGATTCAAACCACAACATTAACCAATGAAATAAGAAAGAAAAAGAATTTAGAAGCATACCTTTTGGAAAGAAAAAAATTCTTATTTGCAAATGATATAAAAGCTTCCTAAAAACCCTTAAAAATATCCCTAAACATGAAAACTAGTAGGAACTACTAAAAGAGTCGAGTTAAATGGCCAGTTAGCACAAACTAATAGTGTTTCTTTATATCAGCAACAACCAGTAAGAAAACTTAATGGCAAAATAATTTCCTTTACAATATTAACGAAATATTAAATAACTAACAATCAACCAAATAACAAGCTTAAAATTCTAGAAATAAAAATGACAAAAAATACCTTAAATGAGAGACATAAAAGTAGACTTAATGAGGAAGCATGTCATGTTCCTGGATATTTATGTTCAAGGGTAGAGGTGTCAGTTTTCTCCAAATTAATTTTTCAGTTTAATTCAAATCCACTCAGAAGCATAGAAGGATATTTCTTTTACTTGGAAAAATGACTCTAAAATGCGTCTGGAAGACTAAACAGAAGATAACAGCCTAAAAAAAGATGAGAAGTGACTTGCACTGCCAGACTTAAAATATATCATAAAGCCAAAATAATTAAAACCATGTTCGAATGGCATGTGAAAACACAGATAGATTAATGAAATGAGATAAAAATCCCCCAGAAAGAGATTCAAGTAGAGATAAGTATTTAAGACATGATAAAGGTGGCTATTTCCAATCAGAAGGTAAAAGATGAATTATTCAGTAATTGTGCTGAGACAATTATTCAATTATTTGGCAGAAATTTAAGTTAGATTCTAATCTTAAGCCATATATCAAAGTAAGTTCCAGATGGGTTAAAGATAAAACGGCAAAAAAATAAGTGAAGAAAAGGAAGAAAGAGAACACTATAAAAGTACCAAAAATGTATAGGTGAATATTATATAATATTGAGGAGGAGGAGGCCTTCCCAGGCATTTCAATAAAGTCAGAAACCACAGAATAAAGATTGATGAAGCCCCAGGAAATAATATAAAACTTATATTTATCAAAACTACCATGAACAAAATTAAAAGGCAAACAACAAACTCGGAAACAAAATTGATAACATATATGGCAGTATAAAGGCTGATGTTCTTATTTTATAAAAAGCACTTAAAACTCAACAAAAAAGACAAACACTCTAACAAAAAAATGTATAAAAGGCAAGCATGGATGTTTCACAAAAGCAAAAAAATAATCATACAAAGGAACTGTTAACATATGAAGAAATTTCAACCTCCTTAATGATCCAATGAACTCAATTTAAACCAACAGTGAGATACTGGTTTTTGCCCATCCCATTGGCAAACATATAAAATAAATTATAACATCCAGCTTTGGTGAAGATATTTGGAAACAAACATTTGCTTAACTGTTGGTGGAAGTGGGAACTGGTACACCGGCCCTTCTTGGCGGCCGTTAAAAATATGTCAAAATCCTTAAAAATGCTCATGTCTTTGACGCAGTATTTCAGTTTCTAGAACTTGACTCCAATGATGGGCGCACAGACCATGTATGGGGAGAGGAACTAGAGAAGTCCAGCATCAGCAAAATAGTTGACAAATTGGAATTTGCTATATATTTCCTATAACAGTAAAAGTACAATGATTTGAGAATTATTCATGATATATTTTTAAGTGAAAAACAGAGGTTAGAAAGGAGATGCAATGTGACCCCACGTTAGAAGAGAAAGAATGGAAAGCAGATGAGGAGGAATTTATAGCATTGGCATAAAAATAGGAGACATTTCTAAACAACACTAGTGAATAGTCTTAGAATAGTGGTAGATTTATTTTGATCTTTGTGTTTTCTATATTTTCCAAATAAAACTTTACTTTTTCTTTCTTGATTCTTTTTAAAAATCAACTCTATCGAAGTATTATCTACATCAAGAGACTGCACACTATTCATCTTGTTTTAAGTGTCCGCTGATTTTTAGTAAATTTATTGAGTTGTGTGACCATCACCACAACCCAGCTTCTGACCATTTCCATCACCCCAAAAGCTCCCTTGTGCCCACTTACAGTCAATCACTGTTTTCACCCCCAGCCCCAGGCAACCACTCATTTATTTCTGCCTCTAGAGATTTGTCTTTCTGGACATTTCATATAAACAAAATGATGTAATACGCAGTATTCTGCATCTGGCTTCTTTCACTTAGCATAATGTTTTTTGAGGTTTACCCATGTTGTAGCATGTTTCAGTACTTCATTTCTTTTTATTGTTAAATAATATTGCTTTCTATGGATGTACCACATTTTATTTGCTCATTCACCACCAGTTGATGGGTATTTGGGTTGCCTCGATCGTTTTGAAAAAAATTTTTGAATAGTGAATGTTTTAAAAAGTGAACAAATAAATCTGATCCCGCCCAGTATTCCATCAGACTCACAATCTGTAACACATAGTGTGTTTGCATGTGAGTCTATGTGGGAGTATATGAACATGCCGAACACACGCATAAAACAAGACAAGAAGAATGCATCCCAAAACATGAATAAGGGTCCTCTCTGAGTGGTAGGATTATGGGTAACTTTGATTTCCTTCTTTGTGTTTTTCTGTATTTTTTCAAAAGTTCAGCAGTGAACATGTGTTATGTTTCTCATCAGAAAAGCCATCATGTGATTGTGTGTATGTGTTTAAAGGGAAATAAATGATCAAAATACCATATGACCCAGTAATTCCACTTCTAGGGATATAAATTTAGCTAAAGTTAAAGATACATAAACACATTTATGTATAAGGACATTCTTGACATGATATTGGAAAAATAGAAACAACTTAATGCCCCAGAGTAGAAGATTACTCAATATACCAAAACCCACCCATATGGCAGAACGACTGCAGGCATTAATAGTCAGGGTATAGGATAGCATGATATGGTGTCCAGGATTTGCTTCCAAATGATAAGGGCGGGGTGGATGTGAAGGGGGTAGGAACTAGGTTGTATGGGCCATGATTGCTGGGGCTGGGTGGTGGGTATGCAGGGACTTGTCATACCATTCTCACTCAGTGTATATGACAGACATCCTCCATAATAAAATATTCATTAAAAATCACAGTATAAATAAGACAAAAGTCACAAATAGTCTACGGCCATGCCACCCTGAACACGCCCAATCCTGTCTGATCTCAGAAGCTAAGCAGGGTCAGGCCTTGTTAGCACATGGATGGGAGACCACCAAGGAAGGCTAGGTGCTGTAGGCGTGTAAAAAAAAAAAAGTCACAAATAATGGCAGTACAATTAGCAAAGCATATAGCCCTCCTCTGTATCAGCAATAAACAGTGAGAAATTGTAAGGAAAAAAAAAAAAGAGAGACCCTATTCACAACAGCAACCACGAAAAAATAAAATAGTTTACAATAAATCTGAAATTCCTACATCAAGAAAACTACAAAACTTTACTGGGGAACATAAAAGAAGACTTGAATGAATGGAGAGACATAACTTGCTCCTGGAAGGGAAGGCTCAAAATTGTAAAGTTGTCAGTTCTCCTCAAATTAATTTATAAATTTAATGGAATTCCAATTAAAATCAGAAAGGATGTACCAGAAAGACATACACCAAAGTGTTAACAGTGGTTCTTTTTAGAAAGGAAAAAGATAATGGATTTCTTCTGCTTAGTGCTTTTTTTCCCCAAGTCTTCTGCATCGAGTGATAGCTTTGGTAATAAGGAAAAAAGCTTTAAAAAAATGCTTTTAAAGAATAGTTAATGACATAGGAAATGCTCATCCTCTCTTCCCCCACTCCCAAGCAACAAAATCATATTACAGTATGATACCTATTTATCAAACCCAAAGCACATACTAATATTTATAGAAAAAAGGTTGGAAGGATTTGTATCAACATGTTACCAGAGGGTATTTCTGGGTAAAAGGGGTTTATGGATACTTTTAATCTTACTCTTTGTATTTTCTTGATATTTCCAAATGATTTACAATGAATATGTATTATTTTTATTATTTTAAAATGTAGAAATTAAAGAAGAAAGCCTAGGGAGAGGACTTTTGCAGATTGCAGATCCCCACCCCAAATGAGGGTCAAAGGTCGAGGACAAAGCCATTTCCTAGGGCTTCACACCTTCCTGGCCTCTCACACCTAGGCAGGTGGGGAGGAGAGGAGAGAGAGGAGCTAATATCTCACAGTGGTGGTGACTGTGTCTCAAGGCTGGGGATGCAGGCTCAGTCTCAGACTACGATGCAGTTCCATAAACACCCATCGATCTCTGCCGTGGGCCGACCTGTCACTGGGTGTTGGGATACCAAGAGAAGTCGGCACTGGGCCTCTGCTCTCCAAGAGCGCTCAGCTGACAATAACCAATGAGTTCCCAACTCAGTCTCCAGC